CTCCGCAAGCTCGATCGTTTGCCTCGGTGACGGAAGCACTGACAGCAGCAGCATGGATGAAGACGAGGCGGACGAAGGCGAAGGCGAAGACTCCCCCGACAACACCTCCATCGACCGTCCCGTGCTACCCATGCCAAGCAGGAGCCAACGGGCAGCACAGAAGCCAAACTACAACGTCGCGAATGCCTACACCCACCTCGAACTCGACTCGGAGACGTAAGCCGAGAGCGGCGACCCCACGGATGCTACGCGTTGCGCAGGGCAACGTCGGAAAGATCTCCCCGGCGCACACGGCTTTCCTGCAGCTCTGCTGGGAGGCTCAGATAGATGTGGTCCTCGTCCAGGAACCCTGGACGGGCTGGAAGGACGGAAACGTGCAACTGAACACGCACCCGGGTTTCGACTCTTTCGTCCCGGTCGACTTCTGGGACAGCGAAGGAACCAGACCAAGAGTATTGACCTACACACGCAAAGGGATAGGGATGACGGTGGAGCAGCAGAGGCCTGTCCACACGAGAGACGTACTGTGGCTGGTGGTCGACAAAACGACGACTATCGTCAACGTGTACAGACAACCCCGCGACCCCCACAGCCGCACAACAGGGATACTGCTAGAACTCAAACCCCCGGAGCGAGCTTTGATCGCGGGTGACTTCAACGCGCATCACTACTCTTGGGAGCCCGGGACGAGGAACGGGAACCGGGGAGATGACATCGCAGGCTGGGCAGACGGCCACAATCTCTCTCTTATCAGCGAAGTTGGGGTGGCAACCCAGGATTGCGGACATGTCCTGGACCTGGCTTTCTCTAATATCCCTTTTGCGCACGCGCAGGTCAGCCCACAGCTACACCCGGGAGCTGACCACGAGGCCATCGTGGCCGTCATACCACTACTCAAACGCCCAGTGTCACAGGGAGAGGGCCACCCGCAGCCACGGCCACTGTCAGTGCCCGACTCGGCGCTGCCTCGGCTGAGAGACCTGATCGAAGGGGGCTAGCTGCGATGCCCAATCTGGGGGATCAACCTACTCCGGAAGACCTGGACGGGCAGGCAAGTCACATCGTCGAGCTCTTCTCCCGAGCCATTGAGGCGGTCGGCAAGAAGAGAGGAAAACATGGTAAAGGCGCGGCTTGGTGGACGGAGGAATGCGCAGAGGCCCACAGAGCATACCGTGCTGCCCGCAACCAACAAGCCTGGGAGACGGAGCAAGATGCGCACCTTTATCTAATGGAGAAACGAAAGGCGTTCCTGAGCACGGTGAGGAAGGCTAAGCGAGCATACTGGGCCGGAAAGATCGATGGAGTCGCTTCAGACCGGGACCTGTACCAGATCATGGGTTGGCGGAAGGCGAGCCTACTGACCAGAGCACCCCCATTGGTTGTGGACAACCAGACGATCGAGGATACTAACGAAAAGGCTCAAGCGCTTCGGGGAGCCCTTCTCGACAGGTTTAGTGCGGAAGATGACGCACCGGGTGACCCGTTTGACGTACCCGTCGTCCCGAGGCGAGCGATTACTTGGCAGGACAATGTTAGCGGAGAAGAAGTGAAGACGGCCACCTTAACAAAGACAACGACCCCTGGTGTGGACGGCATCACAACACGCCTCCTCCAGGCATGCTGGGATGTCATCTCGGAACCGGTCAGGCAGCTATTCCAGTCCTGTATGCGGGCCGGCCACTTTCCTCTGCCCTTCCGCAGAGCTGAGGTGGTCATGATCCAGAAGGCCGGCAGGGATGCCTCCAAGCCCGGGTCCTGGCGGCCGATCGCGCTCCTCTCGTGCCTGGGCAAGGGACTAGAGCGACTGATAGCCAGAAGGATGGCGTCCCTGGCGATTGTCGAGCGCATCATCAGTCCGCAACAGATCGGGGCTCTACAAGGCAGGTCAGCCGTCGATCTGACGACCTGCCTCACCCACGACATCGAGATGGCCCTCCTAAAAGGACTCACGGCGACACTTCTGACTATGGACGTAAAAGGGGCGTTCGACTCCGTCCTTCGGAACCGGCTCGTCATTAGACTGCGTCAGCAGGGATGGCCACATGGCCTGACCAGACTGATCTTTAGCTTCTGCTGCAACCGCACCGCTAGAGTCCGACTGGAAGAAAGCACAACGGAGTACTTCCCGCTGTCATGCGGGCTGCCTCAGGGGTCACCACTATCTCCCATTGCCTTTCTGCTCTACATCGCAGAGATACTTGAAGACGACCCGAACGCGCGATTCGGGTACGCGGACGACATCGCCACTCTGGCCATCAGCCCCTCCCTGGAGAGCAACGTCGCAATACTCAACCGAAGCGCAGCCGGCATTCTCAGATGGGGCTTGGAGAACAAGGTCTCCTTTGACCCGAGCAAGTGCGAGGTCATCCACTTTACTAGGAAGCACGGCCAGCCAGCGGAGCTGCCAGAGGTCCGGGCGGGGGATTTGGTGGTCAAGGCCTCGACGAAACCTGTACGCTGGCTGGGTGTCTGGTTCGACAAGAGACTGTCCTTCCGGCACCATGTCGACGCAAAAGTAGCTGCAGCAAAGAGGGCAGCTCAACATCTGAGACAGCTTACGAACACAAAGAGGGGACTCCCAGCGGCCGCCGTGCGAAAAGCCGTCGTCTCCTGCGTACTGCCGATCGCGCTCTTCGGCGCCGAAACATGGTACGCAGGTATCACGAAGCCGGCTTCGAGACGCCAAGCGGAGACAGACACGAATCCGCCTCTCCAAGGAAGACCCGTCAACACAGGCCAAAAGGGGCTCGTGCAGAAGATCGACAGCGTCATTACAGCGGCAGCAAGGGCCGTTCTGCCTGTCTGGAGGACAACGCCAACCAGTAGCCTCCTCCGAGACGCCGGCTTACCGTCAGCCAAAGTCGCCTTAGAGGGCGTCCGCTTACGGGCCGCAGTCCGACTACAGAGGATTGATCGCCGACACCCGCTAGTCGCGCGGCTCTCCCAGCAGGGACAGCAACAGACGAGACTACAACGGACGGCTGAACTTCTGCCAAGATGCGGAAGACCAGCGTTCCTTCAATCACAGTACCTGCCAAGCTCACAGGATCAGATAGTAGTTCAATGCAAAGAAGAGGCTGCGAAAGCTTTCGAGCGCTGGCTAAAGACAGTACCGGAAAGCCATATGATCGTCTTCTCGGACGGCTCCAGGGCGACGAACGGAGCCGTGGGGTACGGCTTCGTCATCTACCGAGACTCCAAACGCATAGCACAAGGGTGCGGCCGACTCGGACTAGCAGAAGTGTTCGACGCCGAGGTCGAAGGGGCGCGAACCGGCCTCAGAAGGGCTCTGCTCACCAATCGCGGTCATCCAATCCACATATGTATCGACAACACCAGCGTTATACAAGGCATCCGCGGCAAGGCGCCGGACTCGTCACAAGACGCGTTCCTCGAAATCCAAGAAGCGGCCAGGATATTTGATATACGGACGCACTGGTCCCCGGGACACCAGGGCATCGAAGGAAACGAGGCCGCGGACCGGCTGGCCAAAGAAGGAACGACACTGCCGGCGCGGATGGGTCAAATGGCAACACTAGCGGGCATCAAGCGGCTTGCAAGGGAAAAATTACAAAGCCAGCACAGGAGATGGTGGTATAAAGAGCGAAGGCCGCGGTACGCGGACTTGGGGCTTGAGGCAGCTCTGTCCAGCCCTCCTGAACTGGCCTTGCCGCGGGCTACGTTACATCACCTGCTGGCGGCACGATCGGGTCACGGGGACTTCGAGCAATATCACCGACGTTTCAACCACGACGACGCTCTAATGATGTGCTCTTGTGGAGAGGCGAAAGACGTGGACCACCTGGTCTACTGTCGACTAACGCTGGCGAGGAGGCAACGGTGGCCGACCCTCCACTCTCGCAGTATGCCCGAGCCCATAGGCCCTATGGGATCTCTCGAGGCCTACTTCAAGAGATTAATCACCGACCCACGAGGCTTCGAGGCCTTTCTCCGCGTGACGGACTTCTTCCAGAAGATCTGTCTGCGGTAGCAGCATCCACACCTACGTAGATGTGAGTGCGGACTACAAAGAACCTCCCGATTCCAAGGGACGATTTGGGAAAGAATGAAACTGGGGCACCAGCGGGAACCGGGGACAGACAGAACGCGTAGTGGCCACAAGGCATGATTTGGAGGACGATGTAAAGAGACGACGTACTGTAGAGTAGGTAGCCTTGGCTCACGGCCCTCCACGCCATATACCCTTCGGGAGGTCTGCGGTAAGGGCTCTAGCCCGGCCGCCACGGCGTTAAATACAACAACAACAACAACAACAACACAATCCGCAGCAGATGATCTCCATCGCTTGATAATTCTCTTCTTCCCCTATTATTCCGGCATCATCGGATGCCCTCGGCGTTTCGATGAGTACTACTTCACCTCCTCATGTCCACATGCGGGACGAAACCGCAGTGTCAATCTGCGACCGGAGCTGCTTGGAAAAGCCAGAACAATTGCAGCCCAATCCGGATGTTGGCGGCATCGAGGTGAGTAAGCGATGGAACCAGAGGCATCATTGGAACTACTGAACTCATGAAAAGCTTTCTTGCTGACAGAACCTTTTCCGCAACTTAGGTAATGATCGGGTTTGTTGGGACCGCGTGGCCAGTGGTGATACTGATGTGCATTTAGTATTGCTTGGCTTTTGACCCCAATGTTGATCCTCTGGAGGATCGGCAACAATAACAAAGGCGCAAAAGAAAGCATATTTGGAAGCCAAATGTGATTGACGTCCAGACTACCAACATGTTCTCAGGCCTTCGTCCAAGGCTTGGTCACCACCCAGGCTGGGCCATAGCTTTCACCAAGGTACACCTTCTTTCTCATTTACCTACATGTACATATGCCCAGCCTCATGGGATCTCACAAGGCGCTCGATATTGAAGTTGACGCCAAAGACTGACTGTACCTCAATAGGCTCTCTTGAACTTGTGCGACATACAACTTCTCACTGGACTCGGCATAATGTTCAGCAGTTTTCTGTCAATGTCAATTGCTACATGTCAGCATATCACTGGCAAATAATTTGCTATCTAGCCTGGTTCTCGAGCATCACACACGTGGCCTGCTTATCAGCTCTTCGCACCTACTTCTTTCAGCATCGCACTGAACGCAATTACCGACTAGGTCTCATCGTTATTCTTTTAGCTGGTTTGATCACAGCATTGATACCTACCGGCTATTTCAACTGGTCGGCTTCTCTATCGCCTGGCAAAACGGCAAGTCTGTCTCCCTCTAATGCTCGATGTTTCTCTTGGCGAAAAACGGCACAAGCTTTACATGACTCCTCGAATTCACACTACTACGGCAGAAGCTCATCGTCCCCACCACGCTCCATCTACCGTCGACGGGACAATAGCACAATTGAGTGGACTTTAGCATTTGAGACTTCCACTACGTCTATTCTCATATTGACTTTCAGTTTTTTTGGTCGAGCATCCAAATTGTTCCGTAAAACCTCACAACTAGCCAAAAACATTCTCAGAGAAACCCTGGGACACTGGGCAGTCTCCTGTCTGCAGATCACCGCAGTCAGATGTCGAAAATTCGGCACTACACCATTTCGAAAAACGCTACTAGCCGTATTCCGGCCCTTAGACTTGACAATTGCGACTTATCTGGTCGCGAAGGTCTACATGGATGCAGTATCATCCGAACTTGCCGATGTAAGTAGTGCCATTTGGTTCTTATTGCCTAAGTTACCCAGTGGACTAATTCACGCAGCTTCTTTGGCTCATCATGTCTTTGATATGGGGCACTTTTCGGCTTGTACTTGCGCGAGTTGAAGTAGATATTGGTGATTCCGAGGACGCTTGGAGCTTCAGCCAGGTCTTGCCCGTCTTTCTTCTCCTAGGACCACTTTTGGCTGTACTGGTATCATTCCTACACGCACCAAATGGTCAGGCTAAGGAACGGCAAAGAACCACTGAGGGAGATATGGAGTTGATCGATCAGCTGGTCAGATCATTAAGAACTCGTCAAGATGGTATTGTATTGCATTGACCGTAAGACAATGATCGATGTGTGGATTAACAATGAGCATAGAAGCCATGGCTAGCCAAATACACCACGCTATCTCCCTAAACCTGATATCTGAGGTTCTGCGCAAAGTCGAGATTAATCAGCAACACATGCTTCTTGGAGAGAGACCAGCGTTGACACAGAATAGCATTGTTGCGGTCTCTCTAAACGACAGTCAACACAATCCAGTGGGAACCGAAGCTGTTGAAGGTATGAGAGTTCAAACGGTAGACAGGAACCATGCTTTTATGGTAGGATAAGGGCATATTACGAAGCCAGAATACTAATACTCAATCTAGGTGTTGATAGACGTCCTCAATGTTCTTAGAACACAAACCATATCAGCGACAAAGCTCACATTGCCACTCGATACCGTCATCATTCTGTGCTTCTGAAGCGAACAATGGTCTAGATTATTACCTCAATATCACCTATGGTATTGAGGACCGCAGTCAGGAATAATTGGAGTCAACATCAAAGGACTGAAGCTTTGTACTGATCAGATGAACAAAGATTACTAGCTGATTTCCCCAGTGGACCAGATCTTTGCTCCAACTGTTAGCATCTACGGTAGATCATAATTATCCTGGAACAGGAAGAAGTTGGCCCAGCTCTTCAAGCTCCTCAGACTACCACCCATCAACTCAAACCTCCCGTACCACCGTCAGGAACCCTCGCCAAAACAGTCCCATACCTAGACCACTCTCCTTCCCCTGGTGGACTCCTCACAAAATCCTCAGCCCTCAACCCAGCCCTCCTCTCAAAAACACAAACCACATCACTCCCCCCAAACGCAAACCCCGCAATCTCATCACCCTTCTTCACCACATCGCCAACCTTTACACTCAACCTGACGGAAGAAACCATGGCCATACCAATAGGCAAGACCGCGACCTTCCCCAGGAGGGGATTCTCAATGATAACCAGTCCTCGGGTTTGAAGGAATTGGTAACCTGGCGTGTTGGGCGCCGTCAATACCCTTTCCTCCTTCCGCTGGGGGATGCCTTCAACTCGGCGGCATGTTGCCCCCTTCTCCCCCTCTTCAACAACAACCTCGAAACAAGCCAGCCCCCTAACCTTCCTCGCTTCAACAACCCTCCCCGATACAGGGGCATGTACGTGATGGTAATTATACGAGTTCAAGAACGCATGCATCCATATGCCCCCCTCAAACCCTTCATTCCCCCCCCCTCCTCTTCCTCTTCCCCCCTCTCCACCTTCGCCCAGCAACTCCCCAATGGTCCAAGGCAGCCCCTTAATCCTCACAATACCCCCCCTCTCAACCTCCACAATCCCACCACCACCACCACCACCTGCTCCTCCTTCACCATCCCCATCCTCACTCCCAGTAAGCTTACAATCAGCAGGATAAACAACGACCCCCTCCTCCCCAACCCCTTCAACACTCCTAACCCCAACCTTCAACCTCCTCCCAAAAAACTCATTAAAGCTCCTAAACCCCCCTTCAGGAACCTCAGCCTCATGGAGATTATATCGTCCACACCTCCAAAACGTCTCCAAACTCTCCTCCGTCAAAGACTCACTCGAATCCATCCATGATCCAATCATCTGCGCATATACAACGATCCAATCCGACAACCAACTCGCACGTCTCTTCCTCCCACATCCCTTCTCGTCACCAGTCCCTCCTGGGACGATCCTCGCCTGCAGCGAACCCAGAGGCTCCTGGCCGAGCACAAAGTAAAACATACACAACACATCGTAAATATCACGCCCTTCACACCCTTCGCTCGGAACCCATGTTAACAAATCGTTGGCGAAGCGGAGGAACGAGGGCGCGTCGTGGATGGAGAAGCGGGACATGAAGGTGGGGATTTGGGTGTATGCCGCTGCGACGGCTTGCGATAAGGCGCTGCTGTTGTTGGATTCACTCTCGTTGTCGTTGTGGTTTTCGTTGGCCGAAAAGGAGGGAGGAGAGGAAGGGGGCGATGCGAGGTAGAGGTACGTCGCTAGCATCGATACAATCGGTTCCAGGGACGCGTCACCGCGGTCCGGGAAGGGAGCGGACGGCATCGCTGCAATATCTGGGTAAAATAATAAGTTCGTGGCGAATGTATGCAGTCTACCCAGGGCCAGGTTCGACTATATGTAAAGGATTGACGGTGTCGATATATGGGCGAGCATGTGAATATCAACTTCGTGCACACAGCAGAACTCGGGAGAAAAGGGACACGCAGATCTAGGAGATTTAACAAACGCAGCACTTGTGTCCCATCTTATTTCACGTATCGAGAAATCTCGAAAATTTCCTGAATTCCACAATGAAATCATCCCAATACCCGCATGCGATTGACCGCAACAGACTCGCACAAGTCAACGGCGTCGTCAGATGTCTCAATTCTAGGAGCCCTCCACTGGAGGGCCGAAACGGCCGCTTATCTTGCCTTGTCTCACACGATCGCGGATCTCTTCAACGAGAAATCTGCAAACATCCCGTCGCGACATGTTTCACTTGCTCCTTTATCACGGCATTGAATCTTGTGTACTTATCCGGTATTATCTGTGACAGTTGACCCATGAGACATCAGCAAGGCCCCGGGCAGCCCATCACCTTCAGTTCCGACATTTCAATCAACAAAATCATACGAGTTTCATCTCGGAAGCGACTTTATTCGTCTAAAGGTAGTACTAATACACGCTTCATCGGGTTCGAACAACCCGAGGCCTCGTACAACTCAATCTGAATGCCGCCATCCACCTTATGTCTCCGGGAATGCCGTTATGAGGAACCCCCCACGCGAGACCAAGATTGTCTAGAGTCGAACCACCAGACCCCACGAACCATCCCAACCTCGCGAGAAATAGAAAGAATACAAACATACTGAAGCTTTTTTGTAAAGTCTAACAAACGAGTCGCGGCATCCATCCATAATAATAGCCGCGACCGTCGTCTTGATGCAAATCGCGTGTCCACTCCGACGCCAGGCATATCTCACGCGCGCCCAGCGTGTTCCAACCATAAACCATATTGCTACAATCGATACCTCCGTTTTCCGCGCATCTGTGCGCTACGAGTGACCTCTCGTTATCTAACGTCGTCTTCTATTCGAATCAGACGGCCTGTTGACGATGGGACTAGACTTGTCCGTCGGCAAGGGCGAGTCTCTGTTTCAGTGTCTTGGCCTTCTTGCCGCCGCCTTTGCGTTGCTTCTTGGCTCCCTTCGCTTCGGGCTCGGCGGCTACAGGCGTGGCGGTACCCGAGGTTCCGTTGGCTCCGTTGCGGTTGTCGTCAAAGTTACCCTCGCCTGTGAATCTGTCAGTATCTTTGTGCTCAGGATGGTTAGCGAACAACTTACCCTCGTGGTACATCTCGTCGAGGCTGACATCCTCGTTAACCACCCGCTTGCGCTTCGTCGTCTTCTTCTTCTTTTCAGGCTTGTCGAACTCGCCGGCTTCGAGCATCTGCTTCTCACGCTGCTCAATCATCTCAGCCTGCTCATCATCGGCGAGCCACATGGCAATATCGCGGTTGCGGTTCTCAGGAGCACGGCGGCCAGAGAAGTCAACACTGGCACCACCTCCCTGGATGACGACGCGCTGCACCTCTTCCTTCTGCATGGCACGCTTCCGAATGCGCTCCTCAATCGTGCCCTTAGTGATGAGGCGATACACGGTAACTTGCCGAGTCTGACCCAGTCTGTGAGCTCGATCCATGGCCTGCGAATCAATCGTAGGGTTCCAATCCGAGTCGTAGAAGATGACGGTGTCGGCAGAAGTAAGGTTGATACCGAGACCACCAGCACGGGTCGACAGAAGGAAGATAAAGATCTCGGGACGAGTCTGGAAGTCGGCGACAGTATCTCTTCTGTCCTCGAGCTTAGTCGAACCATCGAGTCGGCAGTACTTGTAGTTGCGGTACGTAAGGTACTCCTCCATCAGGTCGATCATGCGAGTCATCTGGAAGTAGAGCAGCACACGATGGCCCTCGGCCTTGAGTCTAGTCAACAACTTGTCGAGAGTGGCCAATTTGCCGCTGTCAGTAACAAAACGGCGCATTGACGGAGTCGCAATGTTGTTGAACTTCTTCTTCTCGTTGTCCGGCGCAGGCAGCAGCTTGCGCGGCGGGAACCGGTCAAAGGGAAGCTTCTCAGTAACCATTGCACGTTCCTCTTGAACCGTCGGGCCAAACAGGTTCTTGCGCATGGACCTGTTGAATAGGATGCCTTCCGTCTCCAGAGCAGTTCCACGGCTGCAGCAGCTCACCTCAATCGGTGGCGCCGAGGCGCGCGGGCGACCAGCCTGTTCCAAGCGACCCAAGCCGCTGTCAACATACTCCTCTCGGGCCACGTTCATGAGGTTGGCCATGATGCCCTCCTGAGTGATGTCAGCCAAGGGCTGTCTGTTGTTGCGGACAGCGATCTTGAACATGGCATGAGCGGGTGTGAAGTTGGAGTCCTCGGGGTCGTCGTAAGCTATCTTCATGACTGGCAAGCGATCCTTCTTCTGCGACAACTCGACGGCGCGAGTAAAGACGTCCTGGTGGCTAGCATTGTAGACTTCAGCCGGACTGGTATCAGTGAAGCGCAGGAATGAGAAGGCGTCGGACCCCTCCAGACTGTCGCGGACGTGCTCTGGGCTGAAGACGTTCATCATGTGCTGCAGAGTCTTGTTACGCCAACCAGCCTTCAAGTTGCCGCGGTCGGCCTTGTACAGCCTGCCATCCTGTCTCCAGAGGAGACGAGGCAGCTCGTACTCGATCAAGTTGCGAGTAGAGTAGCCAACTGCCACGTTGTTGCCCTCTCTGACGAAGGAAGCCGTCTCCGCGAAATAGCCGAAAGAAAATGGAGACGTCGTGTCGGCTCTCTCAAACAAGTCGGGATGGTTGCAAACCTTTCGGAACTGCATAACGAGGTTCATGAGGGTTCCAGAGTCGTCATTGTCACCCGTCGTAGCCTTCTCGATGAGATCCATGATGCTGATCTGATTCCGGAGGTTGCTGTAGATGGCGCGTTGTCTGTAGGTGAGGTCGCAGTAGACATCCTCCTCGATCTTGTCTCCAAGCTCCTTCTGGACATGCTTCTTGACACGACGCAACATAAATGGCTTCAGAATCATGTGCAGACGTTTGAGCTGATCCTCGTTGAGCTTCGTGTTACTCTGTGCATGCGACTCGATATCCTTGGAGAACCACTCGCTGAACTCATCGTGAGAATCGAAAAGTGACGGCATGATGAAATGGAGCAAGGCCCACAGTTCCTGCATGTTGTTCTGGATGGGAGTACCAGTAAGCAAAAGACGGTTACGGCAATGGAAGTTGAGCAAGCTCTTCCATCTCGAACTTTGAGAGCTCTTGATGGCTTGCGCTTCGTCGAGAATCATGTACTGCCACTTCATCTTCTGGAAGTAGGCCACATCAGAGACGACAAGCTGGTACGACGTGACACAGACATGGAACGACGCATCCTTCTTGTAGGTGGTGTGCTTGCGGTCCCAGAACTTTCGCAGCACCTTTCGGTCACCGGCAGAGCCCCAGTACGGCAGAATCTTGAACTCGGGGACAAATTTTCGGATTTCCTGTTCCCAGTTGTGAAGGGTAGACGCAGGCGCTACGACAAGGAACGGACCCCAGATATCGTATTTCTCGGCGAGGTAGGCCATGACGGAGATAGACTGAACCGTCTTTCCGAGACCCATCTCGTCGGCAAGAATGCCGTTGATACCTTGCTCGTACAGGTTAGCGAGCCAGTTGAGACCCTTGAGCTGATACTCCTTGAGCTGCGCGTTGATGAGCTTGGGCTGCTCGATGGCGACGTCGCTCATGCCGGCAGGGTTCTGGAAGTTCATCTCGCCCTCGTCGTCCATATCGGGACCCTCGGGCTCGTTGAAAGCTCTGGCCTTTCTCTGCGCCTCGGCGATGGCGTTCTGAGCATTGGCTACAGCTGCTGCGCGGAGATTCTCCTCGTCTTCCTCCTCAAAGGTGAGGTTTTCAAAGTCGGTGACCTTGGCACCCAGAGGTCCTGTCGGTTCGGCGATGTCGAGATGCTTGTTGTGCGCAGTCTCGTCCTTATTCTCGGCAGCAATCTCGGGGTTATCGGTACTGCGTTCGACCTCGTCCGTCTTGATCTTCTTGCCGATGAAATGGGAGTACAGCTCAGTCTGCGAGATGAGGAAGTTGAGCTTTCTCTTCTGGCGGGCAGCTTCGCGCTCGGCTTCTTCCTTGCGAGCGTTCTCAATCTCCTGCTTCTCAGCAGCCTTTCTGAGATCGCGCTCCTCGCGCTCGTTGCGCTTCCAGAAGCCCATCATGTCACGCATGACACGCTTGGCACGGGCCTGCTGGTCCTTGGTGCCCTTGTTCGTCCGCAGCTGCCACCTCTTTGCCTCCTTGGACGCGAGAATGGCTGTCTTCTTAAGGTTGGACGCCTTGGTCTGATACGACTCGGCTGCCATCTTGTAGGTCTTGGAGACATCTTTGCGGGCGAGGTCGCGCCAAATTTGGTCGTAAATCTGGAGGAAGCCCTTGGTCTCGAACTTGGCGTCCTTGTTGGGAGGCTCCTCGGGCTTCTCTTCCTTCTTTTCCTTCTTCTCTTTCTTGCTCTTCCGCTCCTTCTTCTCCTTGACAGGCTCGACAATGGTGTCTTCGTCAATGTCGACGTCGCCATCGCCTTCGACCTCGACGTCGGGCTCGTCCTGGTCCACATCCTTGTCCTTATTCTTCTCTTTATCCTTATCCTTGGACTTCTTGTTAAACTTGATGCGGATCTTGCCCTCTTCCTTGATCGGGAGCTCCTCGCCGGCGTCGATGGCGGCCTGCGCAGCCTCTGCAGCGTCCTTCTCGGCCTGCTTCTGCTCCTTTGACTTCTTTGGCCGAGGACCGCTGCGACCCTTGCCCTTGGGCTTCGTGCCGGGCT